GGCGGCAAAACATTCGCAAAACAAAAGATAACACATGCAAAATGATGAAAAATATCTAACAAATACAATTTTTGCACATTTGGTACGGCGGGTTGGGTAGCACTAGACAATTTTCATTTCCATGATTTATCCCCACCCCCCCCCCACCCACCCACCCCACACACACGCACCAATTCCACCAAATTAAGGAAACCATTTTCCCAACATTTAGGTGAGAAAATGGTTTCCAAGTCTGCTGATTTATTTATTTATTTATTTTTTGTTTTGTAATTGAAAAAAATTCTAGACACAATAATAAAAAAAATTTATCACTTTTATTGGTGATTTTCATGCAAAACAAAATCAAACGAATGGTATTCGGTATGGTAATTTATTTATATATTATTTTTTTTGATAATTGGAACAAATTTTAGACCCAATGGTAAAAAAAAGAGTAATGATATGTAGTCCCACTGAGGTTGTAATCCCAGTTTATGTGGCTCTAAATGATAGGTTAAATGAAAGGTAAAATTAAATGACTTATTTAATTTCACATATCATTTAGTGCCACATTAACGCCATCTAGACTGGGATTGTAACCCCAGTGGGGTTAAATAGCATTACTCTAAAAAAATTATTACTTTAATGGACAATATTCATGAAAAACAAAGTCAAACGGACACCAAACTTTCAACATTTTTCAGGTGGAAAATTATATCAATCAAACACAATTAATTACAATTCTCAATAAAATAAATTTTGGGCAATTCAATTCCTTATAATTCATTTTCTTTTCACCCAAATTCCACATTCGCAATCAAACGGACCCTTATTGTATTGTCTAATCTTGTTGTTGACTATTGCAAGACGAACATGCCCTTTGTTTGTAGTTTCAGTTCCTAATTTTTAAAATGTTCCTTTTAATCTTGGCTTATTGTAGTTTTGCCCTCGACTATTTTGAGAATAACTTGTTGGTGATTTATTCATTGCTCGTGTCAGGCGCAGGCTCGAAAGGCATAACCAAAGTTGTTTGATTCTTTATTAAATGATGTCTGGGCTATTAGGATGCCGTGCCTTTGCACCCAAGACTAAGAATCTGGTTGTAGCTGGAGGCTTGACAGCTTTCGTCTCTGGCGTTTATTTCTACACCATGAAAGCTGTTGGTGGTACTGACGAACTTCAGGTAGCAATTGATAAGTTTGAAGGGCAGAAACATAGGAATGAATCCCAAGCAACAAAGGCTTAATTGTATGCTCCGTATAGATATAACAATGTAATAAGGAGAAAGAGTTATGCAAAAAGTCCAAATGCTATCGAGATTTAAGTATTCAAATGTAATTCTATAGAGTTTGAACTTTTTGATAAATCATTCGAATCACCTGAGTTGGATAATCATAACTTTCACATATCAGCACCAGCGGTACCTTAAGTCAAAGGAAACTTCAGCCATGGAAATTGGTAATTAGCTCAAAATGCTGAGTGATTAATCATCACTTATCAGCTCAAACAGACGACAGTAGAGCTATCTTAGAAGAGGAGGAAGACATTGTATTTCCAAAGGACTAGGGGGTCTTGAGTTATTGAACTGAGCTAGATTTGAACTAGCGTGGACATATCGCCTATGAATTTAACGTCCATCTCAAATAAGTGCTCTAGCATCAGTCATGGAAGAATCCATTTAGGCTTATTGTCTATCCATGCTCAATGCTCACCTTGGAAATTCAGATAGCAAGTGCTACTCAAAGTAATGGCGTATAGGGCTACCAGGCTTACAAACTCTGGCCAATGTCTTTGGTGGATAGGGCATTAGAAACAACATTGATTAGGATGATATGCACAATGTCCAGTAAAAATCATAAACACAAGGATTTGGAATATAAGATAGTTTTTAAAAAGGGTTTAACATATTCTTTCTCAAATGTGCATTGGATTAATCAATATTGGAGAATCTACACTGCTGGATGTTCATAGAATACACTAGTATTACTCAAAAATCACCTTTCACCCTTATTCTATGCTATAGGAGAAATAGAGTGGCTCTTCATCTCATAAAAGCTTCAAAGTGATTGCAGATAAATAGATGCCTCCATAAAGATAAACAAAGATAAAACACGACAAAATGGGTGATCTCTTGCAGTACATAGTAATAACTGAAAGGTTTCAATCTTTGATGAGCAGAGATGTCTTCAATCTTCCAACAAGATGCGGCAACATCTTGATGCTGTCTTGAATGGACTGGTCAACGCATGACTCCAAATCCTTCATGGCATCACTTCGGTTCTGCTGGACCTTGGCTGACTCAAATTTGTCTTGGCAGACCATCAGAGACCGATTCAATTTTTCCTGTACGCATCAATAAACATTCAGATAAGCACATTTGAATTATATTATATAGTGAAGAACACAATGAGAACTTACTCCATTCAGAAATACTCAGAAATGCAACAAAAAGAATAAAAAAAAGTTGCATCACAAGGGAACATATCTAACATGGCGTTGTATAAAACCAGTGAAGGTCCCTCTGGACAAACGTGAAGAAAAAGATATCTAGTATAGCAGTAATATTACATTTACCACATCCTGTACCTGTGAACCCGTGATATGTTGTGTACCTCAAGACCAATACAAGAACCTCGGCAATAAGTTCAATAGGCTAAAGCAATTACTGTTTACACATCCTCCAGCATATTCCCCATGTCAAATGCTAACATTCTTATCACAACCCAACAAGAAAACTTGGAATCAATGGGTGGCTCCTACATTATACATATGCGTATAAGTTGCATTTTATAGGTAGTAAGGTATAGCAAAATAAAAAACTTTGCTTGTTTTCCCCACTTGAAACTCCCAAGTCCTTTCTAACTGTTAAACATTAAACAAATAATGGGTAAAAATGTTTACAAAACCTTATTCAAGCCTAAATCACCCAAACAAGGACTATCCCAAACCAAAGCTGCTGAGCAAGCATACCAGAAATCCAAGAGTTGATATTGTTTCAGTTTTCCATTACACAAACTAAAATCTCCAATACAAATGACATCAATATACTTGAAAAAGGTAAAGGAAAAAAGGGTCTCAATTTCCATCCTACCAAAATGAAATTCACCTAAAATTTCTCTAGTGACCTTTTCAATTAAAAGACCAAACATAATGCAATTCGTGCTTTAGTACACCGTGTGAGTTTAAACACTCTTCTTTCTCAACCACCAAATATGAGACCAGGGCTACCTCAAAACACAAACACCAGCATCAATTGTGACATATTGATATATGCAAGAGTATGGAAGAGACTTCACCAAAATAAGACACATTTTCCTTATTTCCACATTAAAGTTCATAGCTATTTTCATAATAATGTAATGTAAAATCTACCTTCCAAGAAAAAAACCGATATACAATCATTCATTCATACAAACGCATGTGGTCATGGACACAAAAAACTCATTCATCACATTCCTATAATGAATGGGCTTATTATACATTAATATAGCCAATCATAAATCGCGAATATTAACTAACCAAAGAGAAAGATTTATGAATACAACCAAATACAGTTCAACAACAAAAACATTAAAAATAACCTATGTTCTGTCCAATAACAGCCATTAGTAAACCTTCTCAAAACAAGCCAAATAAATTTCGAGAAAATAATCCAAAAAGAGTGAATATTACCTGAAATTTAGCCATCTCACTTTCGACAAGATTCTGGGCAGTGAGCACAGGAACGGTGCAGTGCTCCACACAATTGTTAATCTCATCCTGCTTTCTCCTCCTGTCGAAACACTCGTAGGCGCACTTGAAATATGCTTGCTGAAATCCCACAAATCATATTAGATAACAAATAAAAAATTAATCAGCACAAAGAAAACCCATAAATTTCAAATTAAAAAAATAAACACAAACTTAGCAAGAAATGTAATCGTGTTTTTATATAAATGAGACCTGGAGGGTAAAATTGACATGGTCCTGAACAACGGAGAGCTCCGATTGGGCAGCGCTGTTGACCTCGTTGAGTTTCTGCCTCAATCTTTCGTTCACAATTCGCTCTTCTGCTGCAGCTATGTGGTCCATTCTTGAATTTACTGGTTTATTGGGGCTTGGTTTGGGGGGAATTCAGGGGTTTAGGGTTTTTGCTGGGTTTATGGCCTTTCGCCTTTTGGTCTTTTCCTTTTATTTTCCAGCTTTAAAAGCCAAAATAATATGCTTGTCTGAACCGGTGAGCGTGGATGAAAAATGGTTCGGTTCAAATAGAATCCGGAACCGAGAACCCATGGTTTTCTTACAATGAAATCATTGATTCCAATACTATGGAATTGAATCAAATGATTTCAGTTTGTTTTGGTTGGATTCCAAAATCAAAATTTTAAAATTATTAATACAAATTAAGTACAAATTTTATACCAAAGGTTAACATGCAAACGAAAAGTTTCATCTTCATACAAAATATTGTATAGTAAAAATTATTCAAAAATTAACAATTAAACGTAACTAAATTAAAGATGATCGGAGTAGAACCGATTCTCAATTATTGGTCCTAGGTACTAGAACCAAAATCGAATCAAAACCAATAGATTCTTCGTTCAGGGAACTAGAACCATTTAAAAGTAGAATCGCATCATTCCATTGGTTTTTATTATTTGGTCGACCCTTACTTGTTAGTATTGCTTTTAAGTATTCATCAGTAGTGAATCTTTCGTGTAGGCTAACCTATATTACGTAGGTCAAAATATTAGCATATATGAATATTAAGAGAAAAATTAGCCTATGAGGATACAATTTAATTTGATTTATAAATTTAGTCAAAATAAACATAAATTTTAATCGTACATTCATAACTATTACTCATTACTATCCACACATTTTGTAATACTTGCTCATATTTCTCTTTACAAATAAATTTATAAATGTTGCCAAATGAGAATACTCTAAAACCAAAAATATAATTGGGCTTGCTTGAGATTTTTCTTTTGACTGATTTTGGATGGCACCATTTAAGAAAGGTTATTAAAAAAAATGGTGCTTATTAATTTTTCTGGACATCGAGTTTTGGTGGAACAGGAGTAAGCCCTATTCACAGTGTCTACCATGCCTCTATCATCTACGTCAATTTCTGATTCCAATCATTGAGAGAGCGTCATCCATTTTAAAATCTATGTTCATTGCTCACATGGACCCCTCGCAGATGATAGCCCTACCACCGAATCTTATTTATACACTTGCATAGTGTCCTCTTGATTAGAACGTGGTGCTTAGATGATTATCCAAAATCAGTGTGGTGCAATTTTGATTTATTCCCTCAACTTATCAAATCGATAAATTTTTATCGTTTCTCATATTCTCTTATAATTTTACCATATATAAAACAATTATTTTAAACCAACATATTTTGTTCAAAACTAACTTTTTTCAAAAAAAAATATCAACTAAATTATTTATGAGAAAAAATTTATTTATCTATTTTAAAAGTTATATTAAAATCGTTCAAAATCGATACTTTAAAAAATACTCATAACCACTATTCCAAAACACCCAAGTACTCTCTCTCTCTCTCTTGATATTTTTTCCTTCCTTCATTTGATTGAATTAATTGTTGAGTAGTCTAATAGAGTCTCTACATGTAAACAAAATTTTAAACACACTGTGCATATTTCTTGCCACTCCAGGCTGATGAAGTCCCTACAGAATAATACAAGTGCTCCAATCGTTAGCATAAATGGACGATCTCTCGCCATCGTAGAGATAGCTTAATTGTCTACTATTATTAATACAATGGATGACTACTAGTAAATTTTTTACAATAGCTCAATGGGAAATTAGATTCGTTGAGTCCAGTCCAGTCTTTGTCAATCCTAGTTGACCTTAACTGAAATCCGATAACAATTTCTGTTTTAAAAAAAACCTTGAGCAGCAACTCGCCATCAAGGAACTAGATGAAAATATTTTTTCGAAAAATAAGTAAAATATTTTTTTAGGCGGACGTGATTTTTATTTTCCAAATAAGAAATAAATAAATATAATATTTTGAAAATTAAATCAATCAAATACATTTAATTAATAATTTTCATAAAAATAAATCAATTTCTATAAAATAATTGCAAAAAGGGGTGAGGACATATGTAGCGATTTGTTCGAGGCCGTAATCAAAATTGAAAAATCGATTTGAAAGGCACGGAGAATCGCAGACTATTGTTGCCAACCTTCAATGCAAGTGATTCGTCGTTGTAAATCGACGCCCTTGCTCTGCAAATTGGCCTTTTCCTCCTTGTAATGCAAAATCAATTCAAAGAAAATAATCGAAAAAATTATTACGTTAATCTAAAGATACAGAGATAAATGATGCAAAGAAATGGGGAGGCGTTCGAATTTATAAGCAGACGAAGGAAAGAGGAGCAGTGAAACCCTAGATGCGAAATGTCAAAATTACCCACGCGATTTACTCTTGTGATATGAGGGCGGCTTAACCCAATGCCATAATTCCTTTACACATTCGTCCATTTTTTAAAATTAGGAAGAATTGCAGATGTAACAAACCTTTCATTTAAAAAAATGATTTGACATAAACTTTTTATTTGTGCCAATCAAGGTACCAAACCTTTAAAATTGCGAATGCAGTCCAAAATGATGGCTTTGGTCTATTTGATCCCATAAACCGTCACTTGACCACGTAAATGAAAATTTTAACCAAATAAAGCTAAGGCATTTTTGACTAGACACATTTTTTCTATTAAATAATAATAATAATAATAAAAAAACCACAACTCCAACCCGAAAAAAAAAAAACCACCCAGCTGCTCAGCCATCGTCGACGACAACACCTCAACGTCGGCACCACCTCTCAATTTCTCCGTAGTGAAGAAATCAAAGCTTGCCAACCAATCCCCCCTCTCCTAAAATTAGATTTTGATTTAAGTCAAATTCAAACAATCAATATTAACCACATTTTTCATATGACCCATAGCTTTTCAACCACACATTTCAAAAACTTCTATCACAGTTTACTAAAAATCTAATTTTAATTCTCACCAAACAACTATTTCTCTTCAATCAGATTTTTGAAGCTTCGTATAAGCTTTCCACCAACTCCGATTTTTTGGTATCTGAAAATCACGCGACGGTCGAGCAACCAACATTAATGGTCTCCCCTGCCACCCCTTGCCCGTCTGTACCCCTCATCCAGGATGATTTGAAAAAAAACAAAAAAAAAAATCACTTAGAAGGCCGTGGAGCATGTGAAATATGGCATGGTCGTTGGGCTTGGAACCGCAAAGCATGCTGTTGACCACATCTCCAAGCTCTTTGGGCATCCTTTTATCCGATCTTGATTCCCATTAATTGATAGAGCGGATGAGGTGGACCTTGGATTGAATTTGGTTAAAGGGCGTGGAGGTCGTGGTGGATTGATTTGGTGAGGGTTGTGGTTTTGTTCTTCCTTTTTTAATTTTTTATTTAATAGGAAAAATGTGTTCCATCCAAAATGTCGTTGCCTTATTTGGTCAAAATTAGAAAATTTTTAATTTCTAAGATCAACGGATGTTTTCTAGGGTTAAATTAAACAGATGAAAACCAGAACCAGAACAAGATCTACTGACAGTTTTTCAAATTTTGATGAATAAAAGCATATAATTGGAAGTGCAAGAGCAATTTTACCATTGAACAGAGGTCGATAACAGGGATTACAAGATTACACACTTACATCATTTCCCTGTCATGACGAGTAATCAAAAACCAGATTGAATGAGTGGAGGTGTAACCCCAAGAACTTCCAGAGCTGACAAATCTTGATGAGATCATATCAACAATTAAGCACGCACTTCTACTTGGTTTGCTCGTTGTTCAGGGATCAATGAACCAAACCCATCTTTTTTATTAGCACGTAAAGAAGCGTCATATCCTTTCCAATACAGAGGATTTGATGTTAAAATCTTGACCTCAGATTTATCATTGATCTCCAAAACCTCCGGTAATCCATTCTTACACCCCCTCGACATTCCCACATCGATTCTAATGGCTCGGTTACTGCAAACTCCATTGATTCCATGTTTCTGAATCGTATGCCCCATGATCATCCTCTTCACTCCGGGAATGGTCTCAAGCGCATGCTCAAGAGTCGAACAATCACAATCCTTAGCCAACTCATTCGAAAAGCTTCTCAACCAAACAATAGAGTTACTCCTTCTCACCAACTGATTAGCCACCTTCAACTTCAACCCAAGAATCCAATCCCTCACCTCCAAATTTACGCGCTCCAGTCCGTAAACCACATGCTCCGGCAATAACCCTCCATGGACAAATACAGAATCCCCAACAACAACAACTGTCTGGTTCTTTGACAAAAACCTTTTTGCAATCAATCCATTTGGTCGCAGCGCAGCCATTCGTGCTCTAACACCATTCAACAACTCTGGCTTAATTCCTCGAAATTCCATAGGCATCCCATCAAATGGATCATCAAATACAACATTCTCATCCAATCCACCACACATTTTCTTCATGAAATTCCCAACATGTTGCCACATAGCCCAATTCTCAAACTCCTTTAGTCCATGAGGCGTCACAAAACGAAAATCCCCATCGACATTCATAATCTCATGATTCCCATTCATCGTAATAACCCTCCCACCAACTTTCGCAGCCTCCCTCTTCAGTTTCTCAAAAAAATACAACAACTTAATCTCATCCCCACCCCGGTCCAGAATATCTCCCACCTGTACAACAGTACTCGACCCACCCGACCACCGATCATTCGGGTCAATGAGACCCGAAAGCCTTAACGCCTGTTTGGCCTTAGAAAGGTCTCCATGGAGGTCCCCAATGGCAATGAGGCGAGTGGGTTGTGGAAATATAGTCTGTAAAGGAGGCAAACATGATGAATCCTTGGGATTTTTTGAATTCTGGGTTGTAATCGGATCCGAATTCAGGTTAGGTTCAGGGGGCAAGAAAACGCCGCCGCCGACGGAAAAATCGACGAAAGTATCTACGAAAGAGGAGAGGAGTGAAGGGAGAATTTGACAATTAATTTGGGATTCCATTTTTTCCCCCAATTTTTTCGCCGTTTCTTTCCGATAAAGATCTAACTGGTTTGGTTTAAATTTGATGACAATTTCACAAATAGTCACTGGAGATCAAGAGGAATTCCAAATTGGTTCCTGGAGTAAAATTTTAATATATTTAACCACTAATACGTGCACGGTTGACGCTGCTCTTGGCGGCTTACAATTTTACGTCCATCACTGGTCGTGCACATTTTCCTTTCGATTTATCCCTTGTAGCCGTTACCTGAAGTCACTCAATCCTATTGATGGAAAGGCTTTGAATTAAGTCCTTCTATCTATGCCAATAACATCCTTAAATATAAATTGCAAGTCTTCTGGTACCAAACTCTTTTTGATGCTTTTCTGAACTTCAACGCAATCGGCACTTATTCACCTTTTCTATGGCATACAAATCGTTTACTCCCAATTGCTAGAATTCATTATGTACATCAGATCTGTGATCAAGAATGGCAATGAGAAACTAAAAAATGCAAGAATTTTTCCCAATTAGTTGAGTAATAACTATTAAGTTTTTATCAAGAAGAAACAAACATCCTTTAATTCATAATTTCATGAACTTGGAGTCAAAGAAGCATCACCAAAATATATCTTGTAAGATCAAATTAAGGAGTCTCGCTTTTTTATAGGAGTAGGCGATTGCTAGAGCACTCTTCGTTCTTCATTCGATTATTCACTCTATTAGTGTTATCAATTCGAGATTCAGTATGGACTAACAACATATGTCCATGTCGTGTATAATTTAAAACCAAACGTGGTTCTTAAAATAAAAACACTAAAATTTAGCAAAAAAAATTTCAATCCCTTTGATCCTTACACACTTTCCACCACTAATAATATATTAAGAACCAATTTGCATTTTCACTTAAACATTAAGGACCATATGTGAAATTAACTCGAATTCAAGGGTTGTTTTTAAGTTCTACGGAAGGTTAGACCAATAGAAAGAAAGGAGCCGCCTTGGACTTGACTCTAGAGCGTTACACATCATTTTCCCCGAAGGAGGGAGAGCTGGATTGTCCGCCTACTCTTTTTGACACTGATTTATCATTTATGAACACTTTAGCCAAAAAAATACTTAAAAAAGAATTATTTTTATTCATACATTTCGTAAAACTCACGAGTACTATTCACTTCTGTACCGATCATTTACCCTCGTTCAAAAACACCTTACGGGACGTCATTTTTATGCTTTTGGAAGTTAAAATTTCTTGAAACTCACTCTAATGAACTTACTGAAGTTATTCGTTATTTATTTATGGTGTGTCTCGGTGCGCTTCAAATTGAAATTCCAACCGTTGCAAAGTGATATTTGTTCCGTTGCTTTTCAAAAATTTCCAAGTGAATCTGATTTCCAGCTGCAGTATTTGACCAGTTGAAGACAAAATGACATTTTTGCCATTAATATTTAATTCGTGTTTCATGACACATGGGCTTCTTTGGTAATTCACATTATTAATGTCAGATTTTCTGGTGCAGTAGGCCCCATTTTGCAGTAACTCAAACGGTAAAATAATCGATTAACCATGGAAGACAGCTCGCCCAGACACACGCTTAGTTACACATCTGTAACATATGGTATCGACTCGGGTAACAAAGAAAAGAGCATTTTCTAGCAATGGAGCGAGGACGAGCACATACAGAAATGGTTCATGATTTTTGAACTAAAGAATTTTTGCTCAAGATGAATGAAATATGAAGAATGTGCAACGTGAAGTTGAATTCATCACCAAGCGGTCATAGTTTCTTACATGAAGAAAATTTTACATCCTTGGTTGAAACTCTGAGATCTTCAACAATGTAGTGATGCTACGATTTCAACGCACCATGAAGATGTCAAACAATACGACAACATTGTTGTATCATTCTGGTACACAATTGTACTTCATAAAAAACCGATGAAATTTAACTTCTTTTCATTCCTTAATCTTGTCTAACGTCGTCCATTTCTGCTTCAGGACCCCATAGTAACAATAAAGACTGCACTAAGCTATTAGCATGAGTAGAAACTGTTAGCATTAAGAAATTACAACCTTCCAAATAGGAACTAGCCAATCCACGGGTATACCATGAACTAGCCAATCCGTGAACCAACCTCCTACAGTAGCATACCAACACATATTTCATCATATTAACAGTTAGATCAACCTATATTTGAGTATAGACTAAGTACATGGAATTGATTATACGTCGGCCAAGTGATAAATACGCAAATAGAGCATGGATAAGTAATTTGTAACCACACAATGATGATCACCAAAATTGCCTAGAGAGTTTTTGGAGTTCGCAGTCAGCACGGAAAACATACCATAGACCATTCACTAAAACGTCGTAGCTACAGGTGCCTCTATTTATGAAGAGCTAGCAAACCACACCAGAAACAATAGGTATCTACAGTATGAGTCCCTTACCAGAGGAACAAGAAATCGCAAGGAAACAAACTATGGCTCATATTTGTTTACCTGTCGCATCATGCACTCAGAGTTGTACCTCTCGATCGTATATCCAGCTAAATGGAATTCTTGGTCCTTGCTTGGCCCGCCCTTGAGCCCTCTCCTCTAACCGTCTGATTCTTGGAGGCAATCCACAGACGTAATCCTGAGCCTTTTGCCCTTCTGAAGATAGTCCGGTTAGCTTTGTCACGTTCCATCTTTCGACCAAATGCTCTAGAATGTCGGCATAGTCTCTAGCCGTGTAGACGCCAAGCCGCTGAGCAACGGCTGAAAAGTGATCAAAAAGATTATCATCACGTCCATCATACATCAAGTGGGCTGGCATTGAGATTTTCTTCCTCATCATGTCAGCAAAAGCCAGCACTGTTCCATCAGGGTCGATCTCAAACAGCTTTTCAACTATTTTGGTGTATGCAATTTCATGACGCCTCTCGTCCGCAGCAATTGTACCACAGATTTGAGCCAGCTTCACGTCACCATGGTCCTTCGCGTGTCTTGCTGTGTTACCATGAGAAATGAAAGTTGCCCTTTCTTGGAATGATGTATAGATAAATCCAAGGTAAGGATTGTTTTCTGTCCGAGGATCCTGAAAATATTGAAGGACAATCGATAGAATGAGTCTAAATTTCACATTTTTATAATTATAAGAAATTATCAATTCACATAAATTAACGATATAATTTGTAACAGCAAAGGAAATCCACATATGCATAATTTCAAGGTTCGAATAGCATCCTCAACACATTCGTCCCCATGCGTGTGTGAGACTTTCATAGAGAGGTTTGAGAAAGATCACTTTTCTTGTTAGCATATTCATTGTTTTTGGAAAGTATAGAACCTGTTTATGCTTTTAATAAGAAGGCTGCAGCTGCTCGACATGCAGGCAAAGAACAACAGAGAATTACATCCACAGAAATAGTAATGGTGGGTTATGTTGCAAGAATCTCACCATTCCCGACCCTATCAAGTACTGGATTGTCTTCTCAATTTGTCTCATGTCTACTCGTCCCGATAGATAGAGATATTTGTTTAGAAGGTCTCCATGCCTGTTCTCTTCAGCAGTCCAAGCTCTAGTCCAAATTGCCCAGGGAGTAAGACTAGCCCCCGTTTCATCTCGCACCCCATCCAATGTATTAAGCATTGTCTGGTACGTTGGAAGGGCTTCTTCTGTGATCATATCACCAACTAGAACGACAAAATAATCGTCAGGAAGTTCCTTGGCTCTCTCCCGTAGTTCCTTGACATGATCATGAAATTCATCAGAAGCAGGATCTGGCAGGAAATCCTGCGGTTGCCAGCATTTTTCGACTGGCTTCAGGTGAACTAATATGTTTTCTTTGGCCCAGTCCTCCGTCGCTTTAAAGATCTCAATCTTTTGAGGTGGCATAGAATGTGTTACTTGAACGTGAACTTCACGTGGACTAAAAGGCTTCTTGAGAGTCTCAACCTCCCTGCAACAGAATTCGACACACAAAACAACAGATAAAAATTAAACTACAGAACAATCATTTAAGCATAGCAGGGAACTTCCAAGCAATTCATATTGTCTGAGCTTATTCATAGGTAACCGTGTCCAGAAAATGCTTGTGTGTGTTAACTATCCGTGTTGGACAGTTGACTCCTCAAAAGTAGACCAACCACCATATTTTAAAGTCCTAGCCATAATTGCTTTACGATTTACAAGTTACGTATAAGCAAAATAAAATAAAATGCAAATCAAACTCCTTATTTAAAGCCAATCTTACAGATTCAGAATGCAAATGTATCCCAATTATACGATTTACAAGTTAACACACACTAGCAGAAAATGCTAGTGTGTGTGTTAACTATCCATGTTGGACAGTTGACTCCTCAAAAGTAGACCAACCACCATACTTTAATGTCCTAGCCGTAATTGCTTTTCGATTTACAAGTTACATATAAGCAAAATAAAATAAAATGCAAATCGAACTCCTTATTAGCATCTTGACGGTCTCTACTGAAGCAGTTAATGGACTGTCTAAATTTATCATAAGTATTAGTGTGGATGACAGACAGTATAATAGATAGATAAACAGATAGAAACGGAAAGTATTGATGCGTAGCATATCCACAGGTTATGCATTTTGAGTGTCTCATATCAAGAAGTACTTGATATCACCATCCACTTGAAAGGATAAACAGACAGTAGGAAACTAAGTTTACGAGAAGAAACTAGGAAGATATACCGAACAAAAATCATTTTTCCAGATTGAAAACACTTAAGGATATTACAATTGGTTACATTATTTGAATTATCTAAACATCCAAAAAAATCATATATTATGCCATGGTTGGCTCTCTTCAACACCAAAAATGCGGGCGTCCAGAACAGCAAGGTATACATGCTACACCTTAACAGAAAATGATTGTATGTATAAAGGAGTGACTAAGTAAACAATAACACAAAAGAAACATGGTTATCAACAAGAGAAAACTTTGTCACGGAAACTCAACGATTTTGACGAATTAAAATTCAATGTTCAATGGATTGTTACAAGATCTGAGCAGTTTTTACCAACTAGTTAGTGATGAGACTGCCTAACCATCTAGCTCGAAACCAAAAAAAATAATTTAAAACCTAATTACCAACAAATTAGACAAAACATTTTCTTATAATGCTCTGATGACCATATATTATCAGAATACTTTATCAACATAACTCTTTTAATCTCTTCTCCTCAAATAGCAGAAATGACAAGTGTGATAATCCCAAAATGCACATCAGCAAAAACAAAAACAAAACACTAAGCTACATATCTTAATCTATTATAAGCCAAAAAAAAAATTGTAAAATGTTTAATTTCTTATCTTTTCTTTCGGGGGTGGGTGGTTGTTATAAAATTTACAAATATAACAGCTATTTGAACTAAAACTACATAGCATGCATCCATTGAAACATGTAAATTCATGAACCACAGGCACAAATTAACCAAATTATACTAAATAAAAAGTTAGAAAGGCAAAACATAATCTTCAAAAAAACATGTTAATAGAGCAGAAAAAAATTGTATAATAGATAATAACTATAAATATTTCTCAGAAGCATTGAATATGAGTTAAAAGATAAGAAAATGCAAAAATCAGAGATAAAAACAAAAACCCCAGATCAAGAAAAAGCAGAAAAATAATAATTTGCATTAAAGATCCATGTTTATATAGAAAGACTAATAAAAGACAGGCCTAAAGGGTTTAAATAAATATGAAAAATGAAGTAAAATATAATGGTAAAAGAAAAGAAAAAAGGCTTCTTACTTGGAGCCAGAGCGAAGAGTAGAAGCCATGAAAAATTTGGGAGATCTGTGGCTGGCCATAGGTGGGAGAGCAAATGAAGGGAATTTTTGGGATTGCAAGTTGACTGCATTCAATTTCAAAGCCATTTTTTTTTCTTGATTTCAGTTAAATCTTCTGTTTTCTGCTTTATTTTTCAGGTTTTGTTTCCTCCACAGAAGTGGTGGCTGCAAAATATGCGGAGAGACGAGAAGTTGTGGGACAGGTAGCCCAGTTGGAGTTGTTTTAAATTGATGTATATTGATGTTTTAAAAACCAACTCGATCATGAACTCTGTGTGATAAGTAATTCCGCCGTCACATAAATTGACGATAATATGATCATACTCTATAAGTATTGTCAATTTGACATGAAACGTAACTCGTCCAAAAAGATTTATATGAGATTAATATGAAATAATAATGTAAGTTCGACCTTATACCATAAATTTAATTTTTTTTAATATATATATCAAAGAAAAACCATCCGTCCAATTTAAATCGATACTTTCAAAAGTCACCTTTGAAATTTTTAGGAAAAATTGTAGCAATAGTCCCTAATATTTTCAATTTTTGTAGACTTCAAAAGTCCATAACCTTTTAAAAATTTGTAGTTGGGGTCCAAATGAACCTTAATTTACTAACAAAAGTGGGTTTTGACTAAATTGAAATGGGTAAAATGGTAACTTTGTTATTTTATACATAAAATAAATAATTAAAAACATAAATAGAATAAAACAAAATTAATTAAAATGGCAAAAGAGAAAGGAAAAAAATAAACCGTTAGCATCGCCACCTACCTACCGACCGACACCACCAAAATTACTTTTCCCCATCTCACCACCAGGCACAACACTACAGAAACTCATGGAAAGAGACACCAATTTTACAAAAAAAAATAAAAATGGTGGTCTAAAGTGAAAATGAAAATGAGAGATAAAAAGTGCATCGATTGTTTGTCCCAAATTTGTTGAAATATTATCATCAGATTCAACGTCTGGATGGAATGAGGGCTGTCCGATTATATGTGGGTCTAACGATTTAGACGTTGGTGTTGACGGCGAGGATGCTGTGCTGGTGGTGGAGCAGTTTCTGCGTTTGATTTTTGGATTGGGAGTGGGGAAGATGACATGGTTTTGGTTTTTAAATTTTTTATTTTATTTTAATTGTTTTATTATATAAATCATATAAAATATAAATTTAATATTTTAACCTTTTAAAATTGGTCAAAATTCGGTCAATCTTTTGACTATTGGTCAACTAACTGTCAAATGGTTGATTTCCATCCATTTGGACCTCAGCTGCATCTTTTTGAAAGGTTAGTCTTCGTTGACAAAAACTAAAAGTTGGGATAAAGTCTACAAAAATTGGAAAGGTTAGGGACGGCGGCTGCAATTTTCCCTTTTTTTTTTTTTTTTTAAATCTTGAATTCGAATAATTTGTGAACGGCATTACTATTGTAGTATTGAATTTTATCTAACCGGACATACTATTTATGTTTCGAGAAATAAAATTGAGATTAGGTCGATTTTTTTAGAGATTGCGGTTCTTATTTGATGCATTCAATAGCATGACAAAACGAAAACGACAACCAATTCGAATGCCGTGGAAACATGAACCGTAAGATTCAAAGTGAAAGTATAGCATAATTCTGTTGTAAGTATATTCTTGGTATTTTATGAATAAAAATATTGACTGAAAATGAAATAAATGAAGGGACAGTAACTTGAATATTTGGTCAATTTTTGTATGAATAGAAGTTGCCAAATTGAAAGGATTTATTAGCCGAATATTTGCATTTGGCAATAAATGTGGAGAATATTCTACTTCGCATACATCATCCTTTGCAGGGATACATTTGTAACATTCATTGTTTATGTCATTGACAAGTCATAAAACCCCACCCCAAAAAGGAAAATAAATGTAAGTCTTACCCAATATTCTAAAATTTATCTATAATAATATATTAAATATTACATCATATGAGAATCATTTTTGGATGACTCTAACTATATTATAATTCAATTATTTCATATTTTTGATTTTTCAATATATATTTAATTTATTTAATCGTTCAATTATCATCAATGTGCATGTACATAGTACATTTGACAGATTTATTTCACATGTGTGCTTTCATTGATATATGAATTCTCTATCTTCGTTTATGCATTTTAGTGTTATTAGTTCTAATTATAAGTTAATTTGAATTTCACATTAAATAATGCATTTCATTATTTACGTCCATATATGTTTATTAACATCATATTTTACTTAATTGGAATTAAATATCACATCAAGTGAGAATTTTCAATTATTTGACATTCACATTCATTTAATTAATATTCATCTTCATTTATGCATTTGAGTGTTATTAATTCTAATTATAAATTAATTAAAATTTCACATTTAAAAATGCATTTTATTATTCATGTCCATGTATGCCAATTATCATCCAATTTCACTTAATTGAAAATTAAATAAATGATTTAATATTTATTGTCAAGTATATATTCTCTGTTATTAATTCTAAATTAATTAATATTCACGCATTTATAAAATATTACATTTACAGTATTTATAAAGTAGTTCACAATAACGCACGACACACGTCCAATGTTGATTAGTGTTTACAAGATTGTTGTCACATTTTAATATTAAATCGGAGTATCTCGGCTCAAGGTACTGCTCTTTAGCATTGATATTATTACTTCCTCATATCAAATAATACTCATGAACGACTAGAAGATTAAGAATAATGTTATGTAACATAGCGAAAGTTTGTAGAAAAGAACAAATTCTAACAAAACTTAAACTTGTTGGTTTAAAATATCAAATATTGAAAAAGAAAGAATAATTTGAGAAAGATTTCAAGACTTTTTATTAATTCAAATTCAATTAGTTACGATAAGACTTACAATTCGTATTTAAAGAAATAAGAAAAACTTGGATAATAACTAATTTCCTAGATAACAACAAACTTTAGATAACGATAAAAATTAGAGACGAAAACAATCTCTAAATATAATTAAAATTGAAAAATATCTAGAATAACGAAAAAATACGTTTTCGGAGCCCCAAACGATGGTTAGGCCGAAACGTCGTTTCCACTCAAAATAGACACATTTTTTTTTTGAAAACCGACCCTCCAATTTTTTTTTTTTTTGAGATCTCAATCCTACTTTTTCATGAACTCTTCTATTTATATTATCATAAATATTAATCAGCGCCAATTTAGGTGGCGATGGAGTCAACATCATCACCAATTATGGAGTGTAAGCTCTGTTGTAAATTTGTTTCGGATTAAAGAAATGAGTTTGAAAGTTTGGAGGCTCAAATAAAGGTTGAAATAAATACGCCAGTCAAACCTACAAAATTACACAGTTTTGCCAATTCTCAGCTTACGATCATCCAAAGACACAATGGAGAAGAGAATCCTATTAAATAATTCATGAACAAACTTAAAACAGGATGACTGAAGAAAGACAAGTTTAAAAATAGATTTACAGCAGAAATAGTAACACCACTTGAGAACTGAAGTTCCATGCCAAGAGGTTTACATAACCAGTTGAATTGATTCTCAAAAGATTAACCTATCGGGTGAAGTCAATTGACTATTGCTAGTGCTAAGAACGAGAGAAAATGACATGAACTGAACTGTGCTAGTGCGTTCCACGCCCCTACTCCACATTTCCGCGGGACCCCAATTGCTCTCGGGGTTCTGAGTCTAGAGGAAGAAGAGAGGAGGGCAGTGACAAGTACATTGCAGAAAACGATAAGTACAAGAACAAGACTAGCTATTCGGAATATCTACCAGAAAGTTTATACAGAGACACCTAGCAGTAAAGATAACATACAATAACACCACCTCAAAGTTACAGTCCCTGATTGTCAGATTCATAGATCAGATGCTAAGTGATCTGTTCACAAACTACAGAAATTAGACTATTATCCAGGTGGTTATCAAACAACTCAACACTATTGACACCCGAGCTGCCATTTTCTCAAACAACACTGGAAGACGTCGTACCATCAAAGTCATTGGCTGTCAGGTTCACTTGTTCGTTGTCGACTCCAATTACCAGTTCCAGCTTTACGCTCTCCTCGCTTTCTTTTATTTTTAGGAAAATGTATCTCTGAAGCTAAGCGTGACTTCAGAATTGATTGTTCTTGAGATACAGAAGTTTCTCCTCCTGCATCAGTATCTAATTCGGGAAGGGCTGCATTATTGCTGTCTTCTTTTTCACTATTTTCACCATCTTGAGACTTCTCTGCAGATTCACCATGATTATTTTCGGAAGCTGGCCCCTCCACTTCAACCCCCTCATTATGTAGTATGTTATCCACAATCTGTAGAAACCAATCAGAAACTTAGTGTCCAAAATAGAAAGTCTTAACACAAACAGATAACTTGGACATAACTGTATCTTCATGGAAAAGTATACTGTTTCTCTGCACGGGGAAAAATCTCAAGAGAAGAAATTGCGCTTATTCTGACATTTGATAATATGTCCTAAAGAAAGTCATTTAGGCTGTGGATCAAATTGTAACTTTACGGGGTGTAATGAGACAATACACTTTTCTAAGATTAATTACCTCATTTAATTTATTTAACTAAGTTTCGTCTTCTTTTTTTTTGCAACATCCTTGTTGAGAAGCAATTTAATGACTAATTCAAGGTGATCTTATTAAAAATAAGACTCGGGGCACAAAAGAGGGCATCAATAACCTATTGAAGTTACAACCACCCAAGACATACTGACACAAGAAGCCAGCAAGAGGTGGGGATGGGTTTGATATGGTTATATTATGTAACAGAGTACCATTCAAATATACTGATAAACAGAGGATGGAGTCTTACTCTTTCAGAAGAATCACCGACTTGTGCCTGATGCTGGGTGACATCAACAGATGACAATAAGCCAACTGTACTTTCAATTATATCAGGAACTGGAATGGCCTCTCCGTAGCTTGACACTGCGTCAGGCATAATAAAGTCCCCTAGATCATAGAATGACAAGTGCTGAGTTGGCATATGCAGACCTCCGACTGAAACTGTGTCTCCATTGCAAGCAGAGAATGTAGGGCTACGGATAGAGCTCGTTTGAGCATCATATGCCACAAGCTGGCTCAAGTTTTCAGACGAAGAAAATTTTGCGGCATTTTTCACCATCGTAGAATCAAGTCGAGCCTTCATTTTTTGAACCCGAGTATGCACTAAACCAATCTTGTGAAGGATATGCTCGAGGTCATTGTCCTTTTCTTCAAGAAATGAACAATCATCATGAAATCCAGACTCATCATAGCCACTGTTATTCTGATCTGTTAACACCGATAAAAGAGAAGCTATACTCATCCCGCATCACAAGGAAAGTGTTTTCATCAAAGAAACAGAAAGAAAATGATACATTTACAAGATTAAGATAGTTGAAGAAATAATCATCACTAAAAGTAATGAAATCCAAATACACCCTTATCGTATATGTGAAATATAAAGGAAAACCGACAAATTACAAGATGTTGACGGATGTTACCTTCAAAGCATGTATAATAATATTGCATCATATTAGTCTTCTATTTAACTTGAAAGTTGAAAATGACTATCAAATAATTTCAAATCACTTATTCAAAAGAAGAATGATGATAGATTTTCGTACAACTAGATAGGAACATTTGATTTTTTAAAGTACTTCCTAGATGCATGCCAATTGGAAATGCCAAATAATTTCCATGCCCGTGAAAGCTGTGTTTAAAGACTCCATGATCTCAAACTTTTGCTTATTAATCAATGGAGAACCACTGACATATATATATATATTTTTTTCTGATAAGTAAGAACCACTGACATATTGTAAAGTTTTAAAAGCAACATAGCTAGAAATGTCACGAGTAACATGGGAAAGTCGCATTTTGTATATAAATTTTCTCCAATCATGTTAGGAATAAGAATAAACGCAAGTCATTGTAGACGATTAATCTGTTCAAAACAGTAATAGTTTTAGACATCTTGGTTTAACTATGATAGAATTCCCATCCAGTTCACCTATTCCAGGAAAGTCGGGAAGAGTGGAGAACGAACTGGCAGGAAAGAGTAACCACATTCTGTTGCAGGGGCAAGCAGTGTAACAGCATCGGTTAGGGAGATGTTATAAATAGAAGTGTGAGGGGAAGCATAGGCAGGCAATAGTTGAGTAAAAGAGAGTCTGGTTTATCTGTTCCTGCTTTGTATTTCTGTGTAATTGCATTCAGAATTCAATAACAGTTCTTTGTTCCTATTTTCTTCCAGTGGATTCTTATCAGACTATTGACGAGGAATTAAAGAAGATGAAATGCATAGAATTAGAGGAAGTTGGATAAAATAAGTGTTATGAGAATTCTACGTGATAGAAAAATGTTTATAAAATTCAAACAAAAATTCTACACTATGGTTAATAAATCAGCTATGTTTTATGGTTCAAATTATTGCGTGGTTAAACAACAAAATTGCTTATTAGACATGTCACAAAGTCATACAGCTTGATTTTGCGCCGAGAAAATTAAATTCCACTTTTCCAGAGATATGAGAAAACAATACTTGAAACCTAACTTTCAGAAGAACTATGGAAGTAAAAGGGAAATAAATTCTGCCGTGAGGATGTGAATAATATATTTCTTCTAGTACATTTCATATAAAATTATTGTATATTGATCATATAAAAAGAAAGGGGTTACTCTTATACTAGTTCAAGAATATTGATTATATATGGCAGTCAGGGATAATTTATAATTGAGTCGGTAATGAGCAAATTTACAAATCAGATGAGTCTATGAATATCAAAAAGGCATGGAATTGAAGAATATTGGAAAGAAAGTACTAACAATGTTCAGTATCTTATAGGTATCATCCAAATGGGATCAGAAATTTAAAAATTGTGGTGGGGGTTGGGGGGGGGGGGTGTTGGGATATATATATATATATAACAAGACATTGTCCATGCTTCTTTTTGAGCTAGATATATAACTCTACTTGAGAAGTTAGGAATTTAAACTAAAAGAAAGAACATTTTAAATTGATAGCAATTTCCTTGCAAAAATCAAACCGTACTTGAACTAAAACCTATTAGGCAACATGATAAAAGTATATTCTTGTATCCAGCAAAACAGAGCACATTATCTAGAACTTTGCTGTAAAATTCCAGACCAATCTAACCATTACGTAACAAGTCTAAATTAAATAGAAATCTAAAGTAAGCGACAACCAGACCAGAAATTGGTTAATTACTTCCAAAGAATCCCCTTCCCTTCATTCTTAAGTAGGATAAGGATAATATGGACTCAAAATGTTAGAAATGCCGACCAGACATCATATTGAAAAAAATTCCATAGCCAAAAGATCAGTCGTTTTAGTTAAAGCATCAAACTTCTAGACTTATCTAGAGATAATTCACATCAAAATTCAATCCTCTAATTGAGGTTATGCATTCTCACCACTTACAAAGAATACTTCATGAAAATAAAAGGACAAAAAACGTGCAAGTAATATAGACAACCAAAGCAAAAGTAAAAATAAAAAATCATTACTAAGCCATCTAGGATTTAGTCATACCTTGGATACCAAAGTCATCACTTATAGGAGTTCCGTCCACATCATTCCACTTATTTTCTGCAATGTGTCACATCAAATGGGTAATTTCTCTACAACAACGATGACAGAAATATAGAGACAAAATGTTTTTTATGTCAGATTAGAGACTTCAAGATAGAATTATTGAATGAATACAAATAAAAACATTTTTGTTATCTTGTGCACCACTGTCCTGAAGTAAAAAGAAAGAAGTCATACCATGACCAGAGAAAAGAATATGATTTGTCATATATGATGCAATATCAGTTGTATCTTCCAATCTCTTCCGTTTTCTTCTCTTCATTGGCCCTTTTCTACGATATTGGGATTTAAATGGTAACGACCTTAAGCCAGATTGTTCAACTGTTCCTTGATCTATTGACATATGTTTTTTTCGTTCATGTGCTGCGATACACCTGTCATACTTTGATGCCTGTGACTCTAATTCCTTTATTCTTAATTCTGCCCATTTGCACCGCCACATCAGAGGACGTATGAAGTTTCTCCAGTGAGTAGTCAACTTTTTCTTCCTGAAAGAAGTAAATGAAAATTAGTTGAGAGCATTTATTCCTTATTATTAGTCAAGTACTGGAAAAATCTGATGTTAGCGAATTAATTCGCTATACTTTTAGTGATACATTTAAATAGAGAGACTCCACGTATTTCAGCATTATAACCAATATATGCTAAATGAAAACAAAATAATATCACTATACTAGACAATGGACAAAACCAAAGGTTGAAAAGAAATAAACCGAGTGAAATGGAGAAATCCATCTAATTAAGCTCCAACAATGTGGAGATCTTTTCTGGTGTATCAATATCTTTCAATAATTAGAATGTTCGGTTTATGGATTACTGTAATCTAACCACTTGAAATAAAGCAAAAAACATAAAAGTGCTCATGGAAATCTTTAAAATAGAAGAAATAATAGATAACAGGAACAAACCCGCACCTCATTGGAAATATACCATTAAATGCATCATATGGTGGCATCACATCATTGTCGCCGAAAAACTGCGATTCAACTTCGGCACCACTCAATTCAGAACTATTCCCATTTCCAGAAGTGGTGTCGGCGAATGAGCTTGAATATTCAGTTGCATCCGGATCCTCTTTTGCAACTACTTCTTTTTCCTTGTCACGTGCATATTCAATTACATCAACAGAGACATTTTCCGTACTCTTTGGATCTTCAATCTTTTCTTTAGACATATTTCCCATTCGATGGTTGGCCTCTTGAGGAAACTAGAGCCGTTCATAAATAAATATCTCAGGATAATAAAAGTATTACATACATCTTTTATGATCTACATGGAGACAGAGCCCTTTTATACCTATGTTCAATAAGAAGAAAGACAATCGTGAGAACCAAAGTTATATAGATTGGAAGCTAAAGCAATTATGATGAGATAAAGATTAAGCACGCAAGATTGTGCACAATCGTAACATCCGAGGAAGAATCCTTATAATCCATTTAAACTTCATAATCAATTATGATAAGATAAAGATTAACCACACAAGATTGTGCACACATGATCATAACATCAGAGGAAGAATCATTACAATCCGTTTAATCATCATAGTCAATGCCTGATTCAGTCCAATTCAACTAGAGTTTCAAAATCTATTCCCAAAGTATGGAACCAGCACAGAAATTGATTAATGCCTCCAATAGGCTTTCTTCACTTGTAAAACTGAAAATTCTAACCATCGAAAAACATGTTTTAAGTAAAACTACATAGGATAACTTAATCTATAATCAGTTCATTATACACGACAACAAAGGAGATAACATCAATTGAGAATAAATTAAGAAAAATCGAAAACTTAGATGGATTGAGCCCCTGTTTGGTATGGATTCTTTAAAACTCATTTTCAACCACGTATTATTCAAATAAAATAATTTCGCATGTGGACCCATAACTTTCCGAACTTTTTAACTATACATTCTCCATAAATACACAAAATATATTCTCAAAAAAACTATACCAAACAGGTCGTGAATCGTGTCTTAAGTAAACTTCAAGAAGGTTTGTTCACAAGAATGACGTGATTCCGTAACATAAACCAAAATAGTTTAATATATAGCTAAATTTGATTCAATTCCACCTTCCATTAGCTTCAGTAATGAAAATAATGGTGTCACTAAAAATTTCATATGGTCTACACCAATTTTATTATGAATGAGACTTATGATATATTTAATAATTTTGAATTTTTATCTTATCTCTCCTAATATCAAAAGAAGCATAATTAAATATTAAAAAGGGAAGGAAAAAAAAAGGAAAAATGATTCCTCAATTGCTTAGATGATCAATTATGACTCCATTAACAAAACCCAAGCTATGAACTATCATATCGGCCTAGACTAAATCAAATAAACCAAGAATTATATAATTAAATTCCCAGTACAAAATTCATGCTACATTTAATAAAAAAAAAATCCTTCTCAAATTTCCCAGTTGGATTTTGTAGTGCGCGTGTGTGAGCGATGGCAAAGCTGCTCCAGAAGCATGCATTACAAGACATAGACTATTCCTTCAAATTTGCATGCAAAAAAATCTCAAATTCAAGAAAGATGGTAAAAATGCATAATTGGAATTCATAGCTAAAACTCTGCAGAAACAAGCACTCGAATTTTGAGCTTCAGGAGAAGAAACCCACAAAACATGATCACAATTCTTGCAAAAAAAGGTGAGAGAAGGAAGGGTTTACCCAGCTGTGGAGTGAAGTTTGTGTGAGAGAGGAATGACAGGCTCGGCGGCGACTGAACAAAGCGGCGTATCTGAGTAGAAGAAGAAACGAACGTTATGTTTTCTTAGATACTTAAAAATAATTATAGCGCAAGGGTGTGACCTAGAAGACATATTTTTAGAGTAATGCGCTTCTCATATATTTGATAACATTAACCTCGTCATGTAAAATAGGTCGGGTCGACTCGCTCATAAACCTTTTTTTTTTTTTTTATATAGTGATAGTGATTGAAACAAATAGGTTGAATCAATTCGCTTTTAGCTAATATCGGTTGTTTATTGATCAAACAAATTTTTTTCTTTTTTTAGTCGACTAAACAAGTGTAGGAAAATGCTTCTTGTAAGAATAGTCACTAGCCCATTAGTAATTTAAATTTTTTAATAGATTCAAGAAAGAGAAAGCAATGTGATTCATGGACTGTGACAGTAAAAATTGACATAGTCAGTAGAGGATGGCACCAGAGTGTAGTGCAGTCAGAATAGAGGTGGCAATCGAGTCGAGCGGTTAGTCGACTCGTAAAAAAGAGACTCGGGAGCCGCTCTGACGAACCCGAACCCGAGCCAAGCTTGCTCGGCTCATGGGTTTTTTATATAAAAAAAAAATTAAAAAATCCAAGCTCGCAAGCCGAGCTTGACCCACGAGTAACGAACCGAGCTTCTTACAAATGAGCACGAGTTTACGAAGCTTGACCCATTGCCACCACTAGATTAGAATGATCTTCCTGTCCTCACCCTCCCAAAAATTTTCGAGAGGAGGGACGTAAAAGAAAAGAAATTAAAAACATACCCACATTTAGAGCCTTAATCACTTCCAATAGTGCAAAAAAGAGATATTTTGATACTCCTAATAGTAGGGATGAACATGGAATTTGGATAGTTTTCAGCCTATTTTCAAATTAAGCCAAATCATTTTTCATGTTCTATTTGGTCTCAAATGACGGTTAACCTAACGACATAGACATGACTAATTTGAAATTGTCGGTATGAGCTTAAAGCCATATTTGGCCCTCGTTTTTTTCAGTTCATTTTCAATCATACATTTCATGAGATCTATAATTTTTATCAACTTTTTAATCATATATTTTATCATTTTTTTTTATCAAAATCTACTGAAATTTTGATTTTAGCAAAACCAAACGTGGATTGAATAGAAATTTTTAACACGAGTATCATAATTCATGATTGATCTCAAATTATCGATAAGAGCTTAGTGTGAACGTTCTCTAACAAAATCGGATTGCACTTGACGATTTTATTTATTTTGGTTCAACCCTACCTAATAGTCTGACTTTCTAGACAAATTAGCCAAATGAAAAGACTGTCCCAAAACAAACAAAGGGTACAATTTATAGTTCATGAGGTACTACAATAATATTGGTTGAAAGTTTGGTTAGCAATATCATTTTCAAGTACAATTGATCTAAACATATATTTAAGGAAATCAAATAGGGTCAAGCTGCCTGTGGCCCAGTGACCCGCCCTAAAGTAGGCGCTAGTGGGCTTAGTGGCCCAGCTTGAGTAGGGCCTTAATTAGAGGCCCTAAATAAACATATCTTTTAGGAAATCAAATAGGTTCATGCCGCCTGTGGCCCAGTGACCCGCCCTAAAGTAGGCCCTAGTGGGCTTAGTGGCCCAGCGTGAGTATGGCCTTAATTAGAGGCCCTAAAAGCTATTTTGTATGCTACATCCTCCTCTTTTTTTCAAAAAAAATTTGATTTTTAGTCAAATCAAACATGGACGAAAACGAGCATCATTGTACGGACATTTTTTTTTTTTTTTGGCTCTTTCAAATATCCTAATCAGTTTGAATTTAATAATATAAATTTATATGTTTAGGATTTTTTATACTTGTAATCAAAATAAATTTCGACCACTTTATCTTTTTCAATCGGATAGGCAGCTCGATTCGAATGTAATCATTATAGCATTGAAATTCACAAATGCTCTATTATTCCATTGGTTAATACCAAAGCATCTACCAGCCTATTCTTGTCATTTCATTTCCTCCTAATCTAGAAAAGAGAAAACATTGAAACGGAATTTTGTTAGAATGTTATTACAAAGTACAATTTATACTATAAAACGATAAAGAAAGGTATATCGGTGTCCATCTAAATTTTCAGTATTACATATCAAGTGTGTATGAAGATAAGTATTTTCACTATAATTTATAATCTGTTATCGTATAGTAGTACGTAGATATTACCAAAAAAA